TATTAACTTTGAATTGGTTTCCAGTGGTGTTTATCCTCCTGCAGCGGATTATTTGAACCATGCTGATAGATCGAAGATGACACTTGTGGAGGCTTTCAGAAGCATGCAAATCGAGGATGACGAGCCTCTTGAAAATGGCGAACTTGATTATGAGGTATAGAATCCATATTTATCTTTTTTTCTTTGAAGTCGGCAACATATTAAACATAGGAATTGCTTTGAGTGGTTCAGGAGTCTGGTTTGATTTTATTGTCTGTCATTTATTTGGTGGGCATCGCAGGCTGCAGGACCAAATGGGCATGGTGAGAACGCAGAGGAGCAGAATGGAGATGGTAGTCAAGAGGAGCCTGTTGTTGTAGATGCCGATTCTAATGATGGTGCAGTACTCGTTAATGGTAACGAGCCTGAAGAAGAGTGGGGTACGAATACTGAAGGAACCCCGTCAGCCTAAAAGCAATTGGTTGGGGCAGTGTGAAAATCAAAATTTTGTCTCTGGTGATTAATTGTTCTAACATGCCATCTCTAACCCCTTTCCCTTTTGGGCTTTCGCTGACTTTCTTTTTGTGATTTGTTTTGTTGCAACAACTAATTGAACACTCCTACTGCTGACTTCGAAACATGTTTCCTGAATTGTTTTCATCTTGTTCACTATTTGGAATTTGATACATGTTTTCTGGTGGTTGCTAATATCTCCTTTGATCGTATTGACAACTTTGGTGTCCCAAACTTGGGAAAGAAAAAGTTAATCTGATGCCTATTTATATTGACTAATATTATGCTCATCCACTGGTTTCTGATCCCTTCTTACCTGTAAACTGTTCTTATGTAATTAGCGTTTGTGCAACGAATTTTTGCATTCTGAAAACCTTGTAACATTAATGTGTTTTAAATTTTGTTATATTCTTTTTGATGTGGTGTTTTTGGTAGTTCTTTTGTTCCGTCATCCCTTGATTCTTGCTTTTTACTGTTTTCCCTTGTGTTGGCAGTGCTTACACCAGATCACTAGGTTTTATGAAGACACTCAGTTTGAGCTCCATTCAGCATGTACTTAAGGTGGGAAACTTTTGCTTTTACTATTTTTTTTCTCCAAGGAGAGAGAATTATTAACCTTGCCAATTAGCAATTCACTTGAGCCATGACCTAGTTTTGGTCGGGGCAGTAAGCATCTTGACCATTAGAAGTGAGTCTCTCCATTCAAGAACTTTAATGGTGGAGATGCGTATGATTCGTTTATAATTATTCTGGAATAGATGTAGGCCGTAAGTAATTGTTTACCAAGTGTGGCTCCCTTTATCATCGTTAGCATATTAACTTATTTATTACCCACCAGCAGATTTCAAACTAGAAGCTAGAAAGATGTGAAATATAAGTGCTGATTGTCTTTGCATTCCCGATGATTTGGATCTCGCAAGCACATTGAATTTTGGGATGGAGCGTATACAAGTTATTTTGGTTAGCTTTCAAATTATGATTCCAGTTACTTTGTCATTGAAAATTTTAGCATATTCTTTGAGGCATTCAGTCCTAAAAAAAATTCTTGTGCCACAACGAATGTAGAAATAATTTGAGAATTATTGATGATACCCCATTCAGTGCATTTTATATTTGAACTTTTAGGTACTATTTTTTGGTTCCCCTCTCGAGGAGTTGAATCGTATTGTTGGGTTTTTTGGGGATTGTCTTTCCTCGCGTTATATGAATCTTGTACTGTAAACCTCTCTCTACATAAAACGCGTGATGTTCAATCACAACCGTTATTATTCTCGCTTTTTTCCCCTCCCGCGCGAGGCTTTTACCATTGCTGTCCCATGTGCATTTTCAATGGATGAACTTAACATCAATTCAAAATTGAAATTTTCTAATTAATACTTGAGGTAAAAAACTTGAAGATTTGAAGAAATTGGCAAGTATTAAATTTGAATTTTCCATCTGGCATGTTATCGAGTTCTTACATAACCAACAATTTGCATTTCTCCGACATTATTTGAAAATACACACACTTGAGGAACTTTTAAATAATGGTTATTGAAATGAAAAAGTGAATGTAATCTCTTCCCACCTCAACACATGAGGCTGCAGCGAGGCATGAGTTTTCTGTTGAGATGAGAAAGTCAAATTCTGAGTTGATTTTACACCGTGAATGAAAGTGCATGGGAATGGAGCAGTTTAAAGTGAAAGTGTACATAGCCAGGGTTCAGTCCCAAATATGAACGTGTGTGACATTTGCCTCCATGAAAAGTACTGGTGAAATAAATAGGATTTGTCTACATCTGGCAAATTTGAAGGATGATTACATGTTAAAAAAGACTTTGGCGTGCAAAGTTAAGACGGGCTGTTTGTAAAGACGCCAGAACATAAATGTTATCCCAATGCCTAACATGAAAATGTTCCCCCCTTGGATCTGGGCTACATGAGCTTGCCATTTGCAAGCAAGCCTTACCTTCTTTGGAAGAAATAGCATAGTTTGGTATGCTTAAGCTGTACCCTTGGGATCAACATATGGAATTATATAATGTCTGTCAAACAATTTAAATATTCCAACTTGATTGGTATTGATTAGTTGAATTAATTGAATAATGATTATTTGTCTAGAACATCACAAAATGAAAATTCTTTCATATTGGTGATAGCCTTCGGTTATTTTCGACAACAATAAATTCCTGTCTTTGTTTTTCAATTTCCATGAAACATAAAAGTTTTTCTTTTAGCTTATAACAGGAAAATGATATTAAGAAATCACGAAAACATATGCCATGGAAAATGAAAAACAAATGCACTAATATGCTATTTGTTTTCACTGTTAAAGGTCTTCAAAACTCTTATGTCTAAATTATATCTTTTTTATTTAATTAGTGGTTTATTTTTTTAATTAAAAAAATTTATATATATTCTTGTTCTAGTGGTCTAGTCTTAAACTTTTCATGTGGTATAGGTTCAATATATAAGGTATTGTGTAATTCATGACACAAAGATCTAGCTTGGTTCAGTAGTAAGGCGTGTGCAAAATGATTTATATTTTAGTATGGATTGATTTATTTTAAAATATAGATTGATTTATTTTAAAAAAGTTATTATTGTAGTTGTATGGATTGTTTAAATTTCAGTATTGTAAAACTAAAATTATTTAAATTTCAGTTTTGCAAAACTCTTTTAAGTTTAAAAAATCAGTTTATTTACATTTCAGTTTATTTTAACAGTCTGCATACGTTAAAAACAAACAGTCTTCTTCTTGCAGACTGCAGACTTTTGGTCTACCTCTTCTGCTGCAGATATATGCTGATGTAATCCGCATACTGCAAACATTTTACCTCTGCAAAAACAATCACCACTTAAGAGACTAAAATAAAATATCTTCTTCTTCTTTATTTCATCTCTTGCTTGGTACAAGAAAGAAACAATAATACAACCCAATTCAGTTTTAAATATCTTGTCACTTGACTTGAGATAAGCCTTAATGACTAAATAACTTTATTAACTCATTTCAGTGGCACCGTTATTGATCGTTCAACGGTCCCAACGTTAGCCGACACCGCCCTCGTCAAAACTGAAGAAGGAAAACAGGAAAAAAATATTGAAAAAGTAAAATAAGAGAAAAATTAAAGAGTTATTTTGAGATTTTCTCTCTCTCCTTTGATGGGATTGCTTTTATATAATGGTATAGATATCTTAGGTTTCTCTTTATTTTGTATTGTTCAATCAACATCGATTACTTTTGCTTCATTAATTTTATTTTTTGGAATGAGGTTTTTTAGTCCTTTTTCCATAGGACGGGTGAATAATATTAAAGATAAGCTTAATGCAAATTTAAATTTTCAGTTCATTTCAAATATAATCACTCAAACAGACTGTAGAGAAGCAAGCAATGTTTTGTCGGTGTAGATGTTGGAAATGGAAATACTTGTTTCATGGAATAAAACACTAGTAACTGAAAATTTAAAGCAACATAAAAAAGAAATATTATGGAATCGTGATAACTGATATATTTTTTTCATTTATATTTTTAAATTTTGTATATAATTGTAATTTTAAAAAATAAATCACGATCTTTTTATTCTCTAGAAGTTTATGGATTTTTTTCTTTTAAAAAACATTATTTTAATTATAATTAAATATGATCAAATAAGATAATTAAATTTATATTTAATATATCAAATCATTATTTTTTTTAAATTAACACGGATTAAATAAATAAATATTATTTTTCAAAATTTAAATACCGAAAGAAAAGTTAATTTTCAATTCAATGATACAATTTAATACGTACTAAAACTGTAGAATTTATTCAATATTTTCTCAATATTTTTTTATGTAATTATCTTTGCGAATTTTTTTAAAGTAGTTTTCTAACTTTCTCTATAATACGATTATTTTTTATTTTTAAGATATAATTTTGTATATCGTTATTATAATTCGATATTTTATGTTGTATTTATCATGACGTGCCTTCTGATTAGAAAATGAATGATATCGTATAATTAGAACACTTTTATTGCTGTTTATCAATATATTTAAAACTGTTTGTAGAATAGTTTGTTACATTCATTATTTCAATTTTTACACTTTCATTAATGTTATGTTTAGGTTCAAATAGAACTGAAAATATTATTAATGATTATTTAAATTTTTATTAAAAAATAAATTAAAATTTATATTATGTAATAGTATCACGTGAGAAAAATATAAGTTATGAGTTAACTCTCAAAACCCAATCTGACTTGTGAGTTACGTAATTTCCCAAAATAACCCTATCAAGTAATTTCCCAAAAACATTCATAACAAAACGAAGTTCTCTCTTCTCACCGTTGAGTTTTAGTTTTGCCCAAACTCTTTTAATCTGTAAAGTCTAGGGTTTTCCTATATAACGCTTCCTCCTAGATACCATTCTTTTAAAATAAATAACCTAAATTACCCTTCAATTTCAAGGCTCCTTGGGTATTGGTTTCTCTTCGACTTTTAAGCAATTGGTTTTGAATTTGGTCTTTGCCTCGTTACAAAAAAAAAAAAAATTTCTTATCTAAGTTTTATTCGAGTTAGTTTTGGTTGGCGAGGACCTGATGGCTATGACAGGTGAAGAAGAGTTGGAGTACGAGAGTGATCCAGAGGAGGCGAAACGGTCACTGGCGATGCGGAGGAGAGAGGCGGCGAGTGACGATGAGGAAGATGAAAGGGAAGAGGCTAATAACACCGAGGCAAGGGTGGATCGGAGGGCTGTGATTCATTCCGATGAATCAGATGATCAGGGCGGTGCTGCAGATTTTGATGATGACGAAGAAGAATTGGACTTTGACGACGACGAAGAAGAAGTGTATGATGAAGAGGGGGGATTTGATGAAGAGGAGGTAGAGGAAGTAAGGAAAGGAGAGTTGCAAGGGAATGTGGAGAGGAACGGAGAAGATGTAAAGGAGCTGGGGGTGGTTGATGGGAACAGGAATGTGGACGAGGAAGTGGAGATTAACAATAATGATAATAATCATTTAGGAGAAGAAGGTGAAGAAGAAAAGAAGGAAAATGAGCCATTTGCAGTGCCAACTGCTGGGACATTTTATATGCACGATGATAGATTCCGAGACAATGTTGGCGGTCGTAATAGGTATTCAAAATTTTATCTTTAGCTTTTCTGGGCCTAAATTGCTATTTTAATTAATAACACGACTAACTATGAAATTTACATTGAATTGTTAAATACTGTTCATCCGTACTGGCAATTCTATGACAACTACATTAGACTTTGATAACAATTGGTTTTTATGCTCCAAATCTTCATTTATACCCATGTTTCATTGATATGTTTGAGTAAAGACTCAGGTTATTTATTATCTTGTGCATTTGCAAAGATTTGGCCTTTTTAATGAGACTGTTGAACTAATAACCCAATGACTTTGTTTCCGGTGCTTGATTTCTGGTGTTGATTTAATATTTTTATGGGTTTAATCTTCAGTATTTTACTTTGGTTTTTTTTCTTCTTTACACTCTTATTTGCATTGCCACTACCTTGCCTGCCTTTTCCATTAAAGCTTTTATAAATGTTTTTAAGCCGTGTATCAACCTGAGTTTTCTGTTTTAGGCGAACACATGGTGGAAGGAAATTGTGGGAATCCAAAGATGATAGGAAATGGGGACATGATAAGTTTGAGGAGATGAATTTGCAAGAAAAACATTATGAAGAAGTAAGGGTTTTGTACATATTCAACTTGCATGATAAGTTTTTATTTTCTGTCTTATTATCATTTGATCTTTCTTCTTTCCTTACTGATATATTTTTCTTCCACACTCAGGGTGGAAGATCTTCTCGAGGTAGATATCGAACTCGGAGTAAAAATAGGGATCCAGATAGTGGGTATTCTAGAGGAAGTAGGCCCAAAGCATCTGGGAAAAGCAATAATCAGAACCATGCTTCTAAGGCTGTGAGAGGTAGAGGACCTAGGAGGTATGAACCTAATATGAAAAAGAGCAGTCAGGCACCTCCGACACAAAACAAACTGTGAGCATTCATATGTGCATTTTTTTCTTAAGTTCTATCTCTTAACCATGATTAAGTTTGCATGACATTGAGATAAAATGTTTTAGTTCTGGGAAACCTCATGAGAGAACTTCACAAGCCAATTCAAGTAGAGCTTTCATACCTGAAACAAATGCAGACACTGCTTCAGTTCCTGCTAGGAAACATATTGTTGAATCAAGCTTGAGTTCCGCTTCTCCTCCCTTCTATCCATCAGGGTCTTCCAACAAAGACATTACTTTGACTCAGAAGAAGGACATGCAAGCTGGAAGCATAAGCAGAAAACTTCACCCTCCTGTTACAGATGAGAATTTTTCTGTTTCGCAATCCAGTACATTACAAGGGAAGAATGTACTTGATTCTCTCAGCATGACCAAGCTTTATATAGATGATTCCAGCATGTCAGCTTTTGTGAAGCCTTTAACTAACGTACAATTAGGTAATACTGGTCAGCCCTCTCATTCCCGGGTACAAGGGAGAGGTGTAGCTATCCCTGGACAGAAGGCCTATCAGCCAGCTCCTCATCAGAACCAAGTAAACAAGTTTTCTCCACCAACGCAGGTGAATTCTGTTCAGAGAAGTTCTGTCCAAGGCAGGGCACTTTCTTTTGTACAAGCAGCTGCTCAGCAGTTGGGCCAGCATCCTGGTATTGTTGGGTCTCAATCTTCCTCTCCTCCAAAAAAAGCCACGTCAGTCTGTTCCTATGAATCTGGAGAGCTTGAATCGTCAGAAACAAGTAAATCCAAGGATGCATTGGCGAGCAAGGGAAAAGGAAGTGCTCAAGGAGCCGGAAGGGGCTCTTTTCTTTATGGTGGAGCTCATATTATGGGAGCTACTGGGAGTATTGCTGTCAACCAGGGTGATCAAAACTTTCCTGCCTTTCTGCCTGGTAAAGTCTATATTCATTGCTCTTTAATAATATATCTAGATAACAATATTACTGTAAATTTAAAATGTAGAAGTGGAAAATTGCAGTATCTGGAACTGTGCACAGTAAATACTTGGCCCCGTTTTTGTTTGAAGTTTTGCATGGATTAAATGTTTTAGGAGATATTAGATATAGTTTTCATCTGAGTATAGGTAAGACTTCAGATGGAGTTTTGATTGCTGGGATCTAGGTTTCCATTGGGATATGCTTTTTTTCCTGGGTTGGGTAGAGGTTGGATCTTATTTGAGTTATTTGTGTTCAAAATACTATGGGATATTAGGGAATAACTTTTATATACAGAGTTGCATAGATTCAGGTCTATTATTCTATATTTTCTGTTCAATATTTCTATTATTTCCTAGTTCTTGATATTAAACCCTCTATAAGCTAATTTTTTAATGCTTTTCCCCTTGAATTATTGACATGCAGTTATGCAATTTGGGGGCCAGCACCCTGGTGGCCTTGGTGTTCCTGCTGTTGGCATGGCATTTCCTGGATATGTTGCCCAGCCGCAACTTGGTAGGGGAAATTCTGAAATGACATGGTATAGTAATTCTTTCCCTGTAGATTATTTCCCCTGTCAAATGCATCTGTTTTCTATTGGTTAGTCCCCCCCCCCCATGGTTTTTAGTTGTCTCTCCATTATGCAAAATAAGGTTTAGTCATGAGTCAGCTTTTAGGACACCCCATAGTCTGTAGATGATATTTTCATGGCTAGTCTCCATTTGCAACAGATTTTGACAGTAATGAAAGAGTAATGCAATAATTGCTTAGAGTGTGGACAATTATTTGACTACCAATGCAATGTAATTCTCTCGGTCACATATCCTCAATTATTTTAATCTGATTAATTTATCTGTTGGTGCCAAAAGCATATTAACGACTTTCATGTTCATGTTTAGGCTGCCAGTATTGACGGGTGCTGCTGGAGCTTTAGGGGCAACATACTGTCCACCTTATATTGCAGTTGATGGGTCTTATCATGCTCGTCCATCAGGACAGATATCTTCTACTGGATCCTCAAGGTTGGTAGCGTGGTTTTTGGTCACCTTAACCTGCTTGTTTTTAACTGCATTGGTTTCCATTCTTTTCCTTCTGCTTTCCTGACTGGGAAGGAAAAATTAACTTTAAATTGATCTTGTAACTGGAAGCATTCAACGTTTGCCTCCCTGCTGTCAAGTTTGAAGGATAACATCTGATTGGAATCTTTTTGCTAGAAACCTCTTCAATCAGGATTAAAACATAATTAGCTTCAGCTGAATGTGTTAGCTATATCCATTCTTCTGTTTATTCAATCTCAGCCATATCTTCGTTTTTATAGGATCCCAACCAATATATTTAGTGTGACATCAGAGGTCTCATGGAGGATGATTGTATGGGAGATAGAAATATTTTTCTTTTCACGTAGATTACTTCAAAACGGAAAATAATTGTTGAAAGATGTTTTAAAAGTGTATTTATTAGTTTTTTTTTATAAAATATACATCATGTATTTATGAGTTTCCATGTTCGTGTAAATTTAGTTCCATAATGGCCCGTTGATGCAGTTTGCAATGCTTTTACTGGTAGATTGTTTGATGGTCAAAGCCTTGCACCCTTAAAAATAAATGTTTCGTAATTTACCATACCTTAAGCGTGTGAGGAGGGGGATTGGGGGGAGGGGGTGGAGTAAATTGCAGAAGTGTAACTGGTTATGTTATATTCCATTTACAAGTTAAAAGTTGGTTGTTATCTTTGCTTGCTGATTGTTTAATAATATTTAACTACCCTTTGCAGCAAAGAAAATACGTCTAACAAAACAAATAATGAATGGAAGACTTCCCAGGGAACTGGTAAGCCATGATCCTGCCTTTATCTTGGATTTCTGAACATAGACCTTTCCCGTTTCTTATGTTTTGGTAGTTAAACAAGCTTCCTATGCAGAGCTTGTGAGTGATGAATTTGGGCAACTACAAAATAACCCAAATAAGCAGCCTCGCAGGCAAGTTGAAAATCTTAGGTCTTTCTGTGGATGGGTGGAAACTTTTTTCACTCTGTTTCTATCAACTGTTATATGTACGCCTCTTGAATTGTTTTGTCATTCATTTCCATGCAGATATTCAGAAATGAGCTTTAGCAAGTGATTTAGTTATTAAAGATGGAGCCCGTCCCAATAATGAAGGTCAAATTTCTTATTTCCCAGAGGTTCTTATCATCTTTGTAGATGTTTGGAATTCTTATTTGTGAATTACTTGGTGTTGCAGGCCTTTCTTCCTGGCCCTTTGTGATCTTCAGATTTTGACCTGGAACACTTTGGGCTGCAACTTGTTCTGGAGTAGTGTAGGTAAATCATGTTCCATCCCTAGTTAATGCTCTGATTAATCTGATTGGAATCTATAATCTTCTGTTCTATTAGAAGAAAGTTATTAGTCCTTAGGCAGTTGTTTGATGTCCAAGAAAGCATAAATAATTATGTAGTTTACATGTCTGCGTTCCCCCTGCCTCCCATCCCCCAAGTAAGAGATTGAAGATTTCTTGTCACTTCAGGCACTTGAGAGACTATTTCATTGATTTAACATGGCCCTGTTGCATTTTGGCAGTTTCGAAGTTTTTTTTGTTGGCATTTGTGCATAAATGAGTTCTGAGTTGGTATATTATGTGCAGTACTTTTCTCCCATTAATTGGAGGTTTCCTTGTTCATTCATTCTAACCTATCTCTTTCTTTCTTCCATTTTTGTTCTGGCAGTTATATGTGACAAACGCCTGCTCATGCTGCATTCAGTTTAAGAATATTATTGTGGCCTGACGGGTAGCATTCCCTTGTTTAGATGTGCGGTATGGATATATATTTAGAGAAAATGATATTTTTCTCACACTGGTTTGCTCTGCAAAAGTTCTGAAACTGCTGTTATGGTTTCATGCAGGTTTTTCTTGTGGCTTGAATTTCTGATGAAGCTTGTGAGAAGTTTAGGCGGGCTTTATAAACGTGTGAACAAGAATTATTGTGCATCAGATGTTTGCTTGATGAACTTCATTTATTTATTTTTATTTGCACAGGTGAAAAGTGATGTCGTCCCCTCTTTGGTGAAAGAATACTTGTCTGATTGATGGGTTGAGCTTGGTTTTGAGAAGTACATCATCAATGTTTGAGATTTTTCTTTGTTTTTTTTTTTCGTCTTTGGAGGCTGGTTAGTTATTGAGATATTGCAGGGTTGGATTCTACTCGTCCAATGGATTCTTTAATTTTATCAGTGCATTTGGTGACAAGTGTTTTGAAGTTTTAAGTTGAAAGATCTTTCTTGATTTCGATCTCTCATCTTTGTTAGAACTAACTTGATGAAAACCAAAGTGTTGCTGCCTTAAGAAATGTTTTGCAATCTTGTGGGCTCGACGTAATACATAGTTGAACAGCTTAACTATGGGGTGTATTCAATTTTAATCATTGAACAAAACATTGTCGATTATAAATAATCAAATACTAGGGTAATGGGGTATTGGTTAATGAATGTGATTTAAAACACTAGGGTTAATTTAATTATATCATGTCTAATTTTTTGACATGTTTTGAGTTCTTGATGTTTAATCGAGACTTATTAAAAAATTAATGAATAACCAATCGATTCAGAAGTATCTATATTTAATTCAAAAAATTGTTATAAACAGATTAATGTTTCATACGTGGAAAACAACTTCAATTACTTGTCTATTCATCTTATCCTCATTTTAATCGTATCACATAGCTTTTCAGAAGATCACTAATCTTAAATTCCTTGTAGCACTTGATGGTGTTTTTGTTAGAGTAGGTGACGAGACAGAGAGATATAATTCTGGTTAATTATTAATCTCACTTCATTTTATAATTTCATATTCGATGTAAGTCATACTTTGTAATCTTTCCAATGGTAAACTCCTTTTACTTATATATACATGTAAACTACACATAAATTAATTGATAATTATAAAAATCTCATATGTCTAAACCCAATATTTTCTATTAGAGATTTTAAAAACATCACAAGCATATCATTTTGACAATAAAATTAATAACATAAATTTTATAAATTTATGTTGGATACAAAAGATTACATTTTAAACTTGTGAATTATTGGGATTAAATTAGATACATATAATTACAATGCTCCTGTAATGAAACTGAAAATAGAGCAACGAATGTATCAAGTGGTTTCAATAGTAAGAGAGAACATTAACATTCTCTCTCGAGATTTCGGATTTAATAATTTCATTTGTAAGGTGCGTGTGCATTATCAATACGTTAAGAAAATTCTAAACATATATTATTTACAATCACCTTAAACTATTAAAAAAATAAGACGATTTTTTTAAATTTAACGTATTATTATTAGTATTTTTTCCAGAACAACTAGTAATTTAGTAAAATGTTATCACCCATCAACATTTTGTATAAATATAATACAACATTAAAGTCAAACTAAAAAAATGACAAACTAATTAGAACAAAAAAAAAAAGAAAAGAAAGAAAAAAACATAATTTTGTACTTTTAGTTTGTTCATTTGGTGGTAACTGAACATTTTAACTTTTAATTTAAATTTAAATAATTTTAAAAAATATTATTAAATTATAAAAACTTAAAATGATTCAATTTTTTTTATTAAACTAAAACGATTCTACAAAGTAATATATGTTATAAATATTTTCAACTAAATATTCAATCACTCATGCAGTTTTTGGTGTTTGAAATCACGACCTCTAAAATCAACATCAATTAATTTAATCACTTGTTAAGTTGTTAATATTAAATGAATCTATAATCTACTTTGTGTTAGATTTGGTAAATTGACAAAGCCGGTTCTCATTTATTGTTTACTTCAAAGTTAAGATTTAATATTTACATATTGTAAGAACTTGTTGGTATTACATATAGAATAGCAACAGTTTAATGTTTTACGCATGCCAGTGATGCCACTGGGAATCCTCCATTTTTTTTTAAAGCAAAAAGGTGAAAAGTAGAATTTTGACAGTTGAATTTCACTCCTTTTTACCTTAAGTAAACTCTCGACACATTTTGTCTCTCTTTTCTTTTCGACCGATTTTTTGTAATTGGTTTTTATCTGTCACTGTACTCTAGTTAATTCTCACAAATAAACTTCTACATTATTGATTTGGCATCCATCTTCTAGTGCTAAAGCTATTGTTTATTCTAATCATTTCAGAAATCTTATGAAACTAAACAGTACAAGAAAGGACTGAAGGCCGCAGATGCAATACTGAAAAAGTTTCCTGATCATGGAGGTAGTTTAATTTGATGCCTTTCTGACCAAGAGGGACATATTGCTTATTACTGGGGCTTTCTAAGTGTATCTATAAAGATGCAAGAACTCTAACGGTTTGTGTTGTTTTCCGTGTTTGGTTTTGATAATCCTTACAAAAATGCTTGTAACCCTCACATGCGTGTTTCGGTGGATTCATCTTATGTCTTGTGATTGTTGTCAATATCATTTTGGAAAGCACTAGCTACAATTCACTATTCCATGAGGTATGATTATTGTAATAGCACCCCCACCCGCCGCACATTCTTTTTTTTGATAGGAATAGGAGGTCTCATTAAAAACCTCCCTCATAGTTGGCTCTTGTGAAAGAGGCAACTAGCGGAAGGAGGAAAAGAGTACCTCATTATATTAAAACCATGTTTACATAAGATTACAGCTTACTAAATAAACTGTCCGAAATAAAATACAAACCAAAACAACCATAAAGCTCAAACATCATCCAATACCCTCTTTAGCTAGCTTATCAGCCTCCCAATTGCATGTCCTAGCTTACCCGCCGCACATTCTATTTAATATGTCTAGCCTTGTAGAAAAACACAGTTTAAATTTACTAATTTTATACTCTTACTAGTAACTGTTTGTTTATTGTATTTGTGTACAATTTTATGATGTCCCCCTTGTTTTCATAAACATTATCGATGAAGGGATTGACGTTAAATTGCATGGATCGAAAATCTGAAGCATATGAGCTCGTTCGACTAGGTTTAAAGGTTGGCTCGTTTATTCTTTTAAACGATGCAATGTCAAAGTTGCGCCATCTTTTCCTAACATTGTTTTCATGTTCGATCTAAAAAGTCATGTTTGCTGGCATATTTATGGTCCCTTGTAGCGGTCAGATAGAGAATACAGGGAGGCTATTAAATGTTATCGTAATACTTTGATAATAGATCCAGATAACTGTTATAGTCAAGAGAAATAGAAAAAGATTTGAGAAGAAGAATTAGAGAATTGAGAGAATTCAGGAAAGAAATGCTTCATTCATTACTTGAGGAATCAAAACCTCTCAGTCGATGTTTATTTAGTTACAGGGCTAAAATGGTAAATTAAAGCATGTCAGCTGGCAGTACTGCATAACAGATATAACAGCTAATTTTATATTCTCTTTTCAGGTATTGGACCACCGAACTTGGGCTACACCATCTCTTCTTGGACTGGGAATGCTTGCTGGCCCACTTCCTCTTGACCCACTTGCTCAATCTGCTTCTGCTGGCCCACTTCCTCTTGACCCACTTGCTTAATCTGCTCATCTTCCGAAGGTAAATACATCTCTCCTTCTTCATTTACTTTAATCCCTAATTTTCCAATTTCAAACCCCTCTTTTACCCCGATTCCCAATTCTCCATCTACAATCCCTAACCCTTGGCCATTGCTTTCCCCAATTATTTCTCCACTTTCTTCCTCTCTTCCACGCTTCTCTCCACGCTCATCTCCTCCAACTGTAACAATACCCGCCGCTGGAAAGGATCATTGTCCTCAAGGATCAAATTCAAGAAACTGGCCTCGAAGAACAGTGTAATCCTCCCATGTATCACTGGTGTCATCGAGATTCTTCCAACGCACCAATAACTGCGTTACAGGTTTGTTCTATTGATTGATGATTCGTCTACCCATAATCTTGTATGGCTCAATTCTAATCTGACCGTCATCGTCCATGTCAAGAGGATCCTTTGAAGATACAGTTGAATCCCCGACGTGCTTCTTCAGAAGGCTCACGTGAAAAACAGGATGTAACCTCGAAGAAACTGGTAAGTCTAACTTATACACAACCTCACCTATCTTCTCAATAATTTTATAAGGTCCGTAGTATTTCGCTGCTAACTTTAAATTCTTGCGCAGGGCCAAGGAAGTCTGACGATAAGGTTGCAATTTCAGGTAAACAGTATCTCCCACTGCAAAAACTCTTTATGTTCGTTTCTTGTATGTGTATTGTTTCATTCTGTTACTTGCATACTCAAGTTGTAGCTTCAGTAACTGCTTGATATCTTCCCTACTTCTCATTAACTCACTCATAGACTGCACATTAGTGTCTTCTTTCCAAACCATAGTATGAGGCTTGTAGCCATACAATACCTCAAATGGTGTAAGTTTTAGGGCAATGTGGTAGGTCGTATTATACCACCACTATGCATGTGGCAGCCATTTAGCCCACTGCTTTGGCTGAAAGAAACATAAGCCCCTCAAATACTGTTTCACACATTGATTCACCCTTTCTGTCTGACCATCAGTCTCTGGATGATAAGCAGTACTAAATAGAGTTTTAGTACCTAGTTGTTTCATCAGTTCTCTCCAAAAGAGACTGGTGAATGTCTTGTCTCTGTCAGAAATGGCCATTTTAGGTTGGCCATGAAGTTTATAAACAGTATCTAAGTATAATTTAGCTACATCAGCAGTTGTATAAGGATGTGATAAGGCTAGGAAGTGGTTGTACTTAGTAAATTTATCAACTATCACCAAAATGCAATTTTTCTTATGAGATGTAGGTAAACTCTCTATGAAGTCCATAGTAATAATCTCCCGAGCTTGGTGAGAAATAGGTAGTGGTTGTAGGAGTCCTAGCTTAGCAACATGTTCTACTTTAATCTGTTGACAAACTGTACAACATCTAATATAATTTTCCACCATAGCCTTCAACTTAGGCCAATAAAAATTAGCCTTAATCCTTTGGTAAGTTGTCTGTGTTTCAGAAAGTCCCCCATGAGGTGAATCATATAGGATTTGAAGAATCTGTAATCTTAATGATCCAGTAGCTCCAATATAAACTTTGCCTTTGAATCTAAGAATACCCTTAGAATATGTCCACCTAGGGTCAGCAGTAGGATTTGAAGAATCTGTAATCTTAATGATCCAGTAGCTCCAATATAAACTTTGCCTTTGAATCTAAGAATACCCTTAGAATATGTCCACCTAGGGTCAGCAGTAGGATTGACTGGTAATATAGATAGCCAATCAATTTCCATCTTATCCCCTTTATAGCT